GTGGACTTTCTTGGTAATATAGCAGAGGTGGGTTTCAGCAGGTTCTGACCAGTTCTGGAGAACTGGTAGCAGAAATTTTGAGTAGTTCAGAGAACTGGTAGTAAAAATTCTGACTGGCCCCACCCCCATCTATTCTCTGCCTCCCAAGTCCCAGCTGATCGGGAGGAAATGTGGATTTTGCAGTAACCTTCCCCTGGAGTGGGGAGGGAATGAAGATTTTATAGAATCCTTCCCTGCCATGCCCAAGCCACGCCCATCTAGCCACACCCACAGAACCGGTAGAACAAACTTTGAAACCCACCACTGTAATATATGTTTATACATAATGTATGTTGTTTGGGGGACTGAGGGAGGCTGCCTTCAAGGTAGCATGGGGTGGGGCCTTACTGGCCATTGGACACATCTTGAGGGCAAAAAAAGGACTTTCTAAAGATCTGCCTTGCCTTGATCACCTGAGTCATGACAGGCTCTGACCTGATCAATAATGTAATGAAGGCAAACATCAGAGTTAAAAAACCAAACCAAACACATTTAATCTACCACCCTCAGTTTCATCTCAGGTTTAGTGTTTGCACTGAGTTCTATTACTTTGTTTGTTCACCGAATTTTTTGAAAGTGGTAATTTGCAATATTTTATATGTTGCATCTCTTCCTGAGCAGTTTTTGACTAATTATTTAAATTTGTTGCTTTTCTTCCCAGACGACTCCTCCTGTATACAAGATAGAAGATATAAAAATACCCTTTGCATTCTGGTATGGTGGAAATGACTTATTTGTGAACATAAAAGACATCCAGGCATTATTAGCCCGGCTTAGTAATGTCATATATCATCAACATGTTCCTGAATGGCAACACATAGATTACATTTGGGGACTTGATGCACCTGAGGTTATGTACATGCATATCATTGAGATAATGAAAAAATATCAGTGATTCCTCAGCAGTGATATACAGAGAATGCATGTTGTATGATGACAATTTAAAAACATGCCTTAAGGCTGCTTTGAAGTCTTAATACAGCTGAGTCGATGAATTCGTTGAAGTTTGCAATCTGATTTAACGCTATTTTTCCAAATAATATTTATATTAGCCAATCATTTCTTCTAGCTGTTCCCATTTCCTCTGAATTCTTTACCTTATTCCTCTGTAACTGAGAAACAAATTAAATTCTCATAAACAATTAAGAAATTTCTTTTTTTTATTTGGATGCCCATTATAGTAGCAATACTAAGTTATAGCACTAACAAAATGGGGTAGCAGTAATCAGTCAAATGGCACATTTGGAGCAAAAGCTTACCAGGTTTTAGCTCATATACTGGAGAAGTAGAATTCTTTATTGGCCAAGTGTGATTGAATGCACACAAGGAATTTGTCTCCCGTGCATAAGCTCTCAGTGTACACGCAAACGGCAAGTGATAAATCATGATCATAATCATAAAATACAATCATCATAATCATAAGATACAACATTCAGTTGTAGTCATAGGATACTAAATAAGCAATCAACATAAATTGTAAGATACAAACAACAAAGTTATAGTCATAAGAAGCTAAGGAAATAGGTAATAGGAAAGATGAGAAGGATAATAGGAAAACAACCCTAGTAGGTGGTTTGACATCCCAGGGCATAAGACAGTGTTGTGGGAATTAGCTGTTTAGCAGAGTGATGGCATGGGGGGGGAACTGTCCTTGTGTCTAGTTGTTTATTTATTTATTTATTTATTTATTTATTTATTTATTTATTTATTTATTTATTTATTCATTGGTTCAATTTATTTATTCATTGGTTCAATTTATATGCCGCCCTTCTCCGGAGACTCAGGGCGGCTTACAATGCGTTAAGCAATAGCCTTCATACTTTTGTATATACCTGCTTAGTAGGGCTTTCGGGCCCCCCTAAGTGGTGTTCTTTTTTATACAAAGTCAGCTTATTGCCTCCACAATCCGGGTCCTCATTTTACCTACCTCGAAAGGATGGAAGGCTGAGTCAACCTTGAGCCTGGTGAGATTTGAACTTGCAGCAATTGCAGGCAGTTGGTGCTACTTAATAGCGCTTTAGTCTGCTGTGTCACCAAGGCTGTTCTTTGTTTTAGTGTGCAATGCCCTATAATGTCATCTTGTGTTCTGTCCCCGTCCCACACATGCACCCCCACAGGCAGCCCGGAGTTAATAAGCCACACGACAAAGTCTTTGAAGATAAAGCTGGCAGCAACCCGGTGGCTAGCTGCCAATTCAGACTTTACTCACATAAAACAAAGATTAGACTGCAAGCATTCCAATAAAGCAGGCAAAGTTTCAGCAATACAAGGATTAGTTCAAATGCAGTCCAACAAGATAGGCAGAAGTCCAGTAATGCAGAGATCATGGATTATTTCTAGTTTTTGCTCGTCACAAACTTAACCGGCCTCCACACCCACATTTATACCCTGTGGGGTGTGGTCCAGTGACTCAGCTAATCTCTGGCATGCCTTCCCCTCTGCTGCGCATTCTTCTCCGTGCGCCGCTGTCAAGGATCCAGCCAGCACTTATCTCCTTCATCGCTGTCCACCTGTGGCTGCGGGGACGTGCTTGGCTCTGGCCCTATCTCTTGGCCTTCAGTGTCCTCCGGAGGCATTGCCAGAGAGGAGGGTCCTGGAGAGGGAGGCCTTGCCAACTCCTCTCCCTCACTCTCAGAGTCTGCATCTGTCGATAGCCCAGGCTCAGGCAACGGAGCCACAACATCTTGAGGGAAGAAGTTGAAACAGTTTATGTCCAGGATGTGAGGGGTCTGTAGATATTTTCACAGCCCTCTTTCTGGCTTGTGCAGTATACAGGTAGTCCTCGACTTACAACAGTTTGTTTAGTGACTGTTCAAAGTTACACCAGCAGTGAAAAAAGTGAAAAAGCGGTTTTTCACAGTTACAACCTTTGCTGCATCCTCATGATGACATGAACAAAATTCAAATGCTTGACAACTGGTTCATCCTTATGATAGTTGCAGTGTGCCGGGATCATGTGATCCAGGGGTGGGTTCTACTTACCTTTACTACCAGTTCACAGTGGGATCGCTTGTGCACGCCTTGCTTCTGCGCATGCACAGATTGCTTCTGATGATGTCAGGGTCAGTGGGTAGAGCCTCCTGCTGGTTTTACTACCAGTTCTATAGAACTGGTCCAAACCGGGGGCAACCCACCACTGATGTGATCCCCTTTTGTGATCTTCTGACAAGCAAAGTCAATGGGGGAATCCAGATTCACTTAACAACCAGGTGAGAAATTTCGTAAAATGGAGCAAACTTCACTTAGCAAATGTGTCACTTAAGAACAGAAATGTTGGGCTCAACTGCAGTTGTAAGTTGAGGACTATCCATATACAATAAGCACTGCTGTACAAAGTGGTAATATGACTATTATAATACGTATCTTGGACAATTCAGTTAATTCAAGATGCAGCAGCGACATTGATCTGTTAAGAGAGACTGTGTTATGTTTGTTCTAAGCTGATATGCTTAAGAATTTACCACAGTTTGTTGATATGCTTCTGGGTGAAATGCAAAATACCGAGGTGACTCTTTTCTTTGTGTTAACTCTGTCTTCATTAAAATAATCAGAAGAGTTCCCAGACAACTTGAGAACAAGCCTTCTAATTTTGTTACCCTAAATTCAGAAAGAGTTTTCTTGTAGCTTTCATTGATCGACTGATGAGAATTAGAAGACTCTGATACCAAAATTACTCTGGGCGAGCTACATTAGAAACAAAAACCACCAGAAAAAAATCAAAGTCTAGCTTCTTTAAAGGTCTTTGAAAGAATTATAAAGGCTCATAATATTAGTGTTCTGACCCAGCTCCCCAAACACGACAAACCCTCGGAAGTGAACTCAAAGATTCCTTTAATCTTTGAGGAAAAAGTTTCTCTCTCACATCAGGCTAACAAGTCTGTCTGACAGGGAGATGGATAATTGTCTGCCGTATCTATTCATCTCTGCCTCCTGCCTTTTATCCCCAGAGCTAGGGTGGGGCTTCGCTAGCAGCAGTGGCTCTTCCTTCCCAAGGATAGGCCCAAAGATTTCTACTGCTCTCCTCTCCTCTGCCTGCGCATCCACACGTCAGGCACTGGACCCAGCTGTTGCTCCTCTTCCTCATCAGTCACCTCCAGACCTGGAGGCTGTTGAGTCTCCATCTGAGGGCTGACAGATGGCCAAGGCTCTGCCTCTCTCTCTCTCCCTCCCTCCCTCCCTCCCTCTCCCTCCCTCCCCCCCCTCTCTCTGCCAGCTCCATTCCCTCTTCCCCCTCGGAGCTCTCAGGTTGCCTTGATGCTGATTTTGACTCCCATGCTTCCTCCTCCTCTGATACAGGTGACGGGCCACAACAATTAGTCTGGCTTTTAGTCATTGTATTTATTAGTTTTGGGTGGTTTTAATCTGAGTTTTACTATGGTTTTAGCTGTTTTGTTTAACACTTAAAGGCTTTCCATTTTTAATGCATACCATCCTATATAGAGATGAAGACAGAGATAGAGATGCAGATGGCGATAGTGATACATTGGCAAAAAAATGTTGCCGTGCAGCCTCACTGCCTAACATGAATACTTCTTGGGATCTATATACTTCTTGGGATTTGTCTTAATATAATGTGTCAGTTTCTTTATTATGATACACAACCAGAAAGTCTTAGAAAAGCAGTCTGTAAAATGGGGGGGGGGGAAATCAAAAACTAACAACGGGGAAATGAAATAGGAGATGAACTGGCACCCAAGGAGGAGACCTAAGATAAAACAGTAAAATCTCAACAATATCCCTTTGAGTGCCTTTGAGTATTCTGCAACATTTGAAGAGATTGTGTCATTCTGCTCAAATCATTAATAACAAAGATAAAAGGAATTGTTAGGGTGTGGCTGTTCTATCTCCATTCCCATGTGAAGTTGGCAACTCCCAGGCATTAAAGCACTTTATCTCCTTGTTCTATTACTATTACATACATTCAAAACAAAATAGACAAACACCTTTTGACAAGCCAAAAGTCAATTTACAACATAACTTTATTGCTAAACCTGTTTTGGATTACAACACATATAAATAGCACAATTTAACACCAATGAAATAAATAATATGGCTTATACTCGTGATGGCGAACCTATGGCATGCGGAGCCATATCTGTGGGCACACAAGCGTTGCCCTAGCTCAGCTCCAGCACGCATGCACGCATCAGCCACCTGATGTTTGGCCCTTTGGGCCCACTGGAAGTCAGGAAACGGGCATCCGGAGGGTCTCCGGGGAGAGTGAGGAAGGCAGTTTTCACCCTCCCCAGGTTCCTAGAAAGCCTCTGGAGCCTGGGGAGGGCAAAAAATGGGCCTTCTGGGCCCACTGGAAGTTGGGAAATGGGCCATTTCTGGCCTCCAGAGGGCCTCGGGGGGGGGAAGCCATTTTCGCCCTCCCCAGGCTCCAAGAAAGCCTCTGGAGCCTGGGGAGGGTGAAAAACAGGCCTACGGGCCCACTGCGCCATCACGTGCCAAAAGTGGGGGGAGCACAGGGGGGGTTACATGCACATATGTGGGGAGCATTGAATTATGGATGTGGGCACGTACGTGCGCAAACCCCATGCTCCCCCCGCTTTTGGCACATGACGGCAAAAAGGTTAGCCATCACTGGCTTATACTATACCAATGGTTTTCAAATTGACAACCACTGTGTAGATTTCAACTAGCTGGGGAATTGTGGGAATTGAAGTCCACACATCTTAAAGTTGCCAAGTTTGAAAAACACTGACTTATACTCTTATACAAACGCTGTACTTTAGTAAGAAAACAATCATGAAAATAAAAATGATATTTTGACGCTCACAGAATTGACCACCTCATTTTGATTTTATCACCCATTAAACCTCCAGCAACAGGATTTAATGCAGTCTATTCTTTTGCATAAGCTTATTGGCTGCCTGATGTCACTTGAAATTATAAAAGGAATTACATTTATCACAATGAATTGGCCCCATGGGTCGGAGCTTTTCTAACAATATCTGATGTAATGATCTAGGAATCCTTCTTTAATATGTGTTCTATGTTGAGGAACTTTAATCTTCTTACTATGTCCAGTGGAGTCTCTCCAGCCTGAAATAAAGGGATAAAATGAACAAAGGTGAAAAGAATGAATGAAGAAAGCATCAACATATATAAAATCTAACTTGGCTGACCCAAAGGTCCTTTTTCAAGAGGCAATTGGACTTTCTTGATTTTCTTTGAAGACATTTTGCTTCTTATCCAAGAAGCTTCTTCAGTTCTGACAGGATAGTTGTTGTGGCCTGCTGGCGGCCAGCAGAGCTGGCAACAGAGATGGACAGTGAGGAGGTTGGGGAGGAACTTGGGCCAGTCCTGGGGCTGGAGAAAGCTCGGATGAGGGCTCTGCATCAGAGGCAGGGAGGAGGCCAAGGCTATTTGTTAGTTATATGCAGCCCCCGGAGTCTGACATCAATGAGGCAGAAGAACAGTGGGAGCCTGTTCCCAGTGTGTACATGTGTAGAGCTGCCAGAAGACAAGAACAATTAAGAAAACAGGGAGTAAAGCTTGGAGATGATTGGCCCCTCCCATAAAACATAAAAGAAGAGCGAACAGGACATGAGCTTTTGCAGGAAGCAATTAGTTCATTTGGACGGTTCAAGATTTGAAAGTTCTGTTTGTGACTCTGTGCCAAGTTTGGCCTTGCCCTGCATCTGGAAATTAGCTCTCTGGCAGCATTCCATATGAGATAGGTGGGTGCTGATAACCTTCCTCTGAAAGACTGTTTATCAAGCCTTGAGGACTGTAAATGAAAGTAATTTACAGTCGGATAAATAAAAGAGGTTTTGCAGGACTAAGACTTTGCTTCATGCTTTCTAAGGAAGCCTAGGTCAGAACAATAATGTCTTTCCATCCTTCCATTCCCCACCATCCAGTCAGAGCTGAAGAAGCTTCTTGGATGAGATGCGAAACGTCCTCAAAGAAAAATAGCTGCCTCTTAAAAAAGCACCTTTGGGACAACCATGACCTGGATGACTGAGAATCTCCATAAACATCTAACTTGGCCAACTTTAGATATTTGAAAGAGTACTATTGCCAAGAAGACAGTTATTTCATTGTAAGTTGCGCAGAATAATTTCATTTTGGATAGTATCCAATACTGGCTTTTGAAGCAAATGTTACAAATGTTCCAAGTTCTAGGAGGAAGTCATAATCTCTTTCTTTCTTTCTTTCTTTCTTTCTTTCTTTCTTTCTTTCTTTCTTTTCTTTCTTTTTCTCTTTCTTTCTTTCTTTCTTTCTTTCTTTCTTTCTTTCTTTCTTTCTTTGTTCCTTCCTTCCTTCCTTCCTTCCTTCCTTCCTTCCTTTCTTTCTTTCTTTCTTTCGCCACCTATCTAACCACAAGGTAACTCTGGGCTGCTTATAATCATGAATGCTAGATATAAATATAATAAAACATAAATAAGTTAAAACAAGCCAAACACTATGATCTAATTAAAGATGTGGGAGAACAGTTGGGGGGGGATGGGATCTGTTGTTAATCGAACAACCACCTCCATTGTGGTTAAATAATTGTGTTAATCTACCATTAGAACTTTCCTCTATTTGCTTCAAAGTTTTGATGAATCTCTCCAGTGCAAATTTGTTTAAGAAATGTTGGAAGTAGTCCATATAGTCTGAAACCAGTGGCAAATGGTAATACAGGTAAGATTACCATTTGAAGTTAATCTCTTCAATGTTAGGTCAAACGAAAAGAATTTTGACCAAAAGGTGAGTGATGGTTGTTATTGGTATGACAAAAAGTGCCTTATCAGTGAGAAATAAAACTCCTTGTATAAAGATTGATTTTCACGCAGTGGAAACGTCTGAATATTATTTTATGATATTATTATTTTTTGGAGGGGGAAACATGTATGAGTCTAAAACATCGCTTACTTCTGCTAAGCTACTGCTAAACAATATAATTCTCAAATCATGGCTATAAAATGTCTTCTTCTGCTATTGCGAGACATATATTATAGCCACATACTGTATAGCCACGGGTCACCAAGTTCAGAGTTTTATGGTGTCACAGGAACTCTCGTTTTCTGTGGTTAGCTGAAGCGGTTGCCATCAATCGAGTGAAGCCTCCCTTGGGTGTGCAGAAACAACTGTATGTCAATCTGTGCCTTCCGTGGGTGTAAAGTTTCATCACTGGTTGGTGTTCACACACGTTATATGTCTAATTGAATGATTTCACTGGACTTTATGCTCCGTGTTGATTTTTAACTGTGTTATTGTAAGTTTGGCCCTGACGAGTCAATACGAAATGCTTGCATCTACCGCCGTTCGTCTTTTAACTGCCTTGTTCAAATTGTTAAAGGGGACTAGTTGCTTTAAATATTATTCTCCCTATGGGAAACTTAAAATTATCTGTCATCATCTAAGGTTGCTAACTTTAACCTTCATGGTAAATGTTTCTGAGTGTTCTAGTCAAAAAGCTTAATGGGGAGTGCTGGATGGCTTACACATGATCTATCTATTTAGATAAATCTAATTTTTTAAATATTTATGGATGCTGTATAGCTGGTTTTAATTCCTTTTTATTGTTTCTTTTTGCTTTTTTTTCCCTTGCTACTATCCATATTGACTTTTTAAACATCAGCTGCTTCTGGACAACATAACCTGTATCAAAATCTTCAAATGTAATGACTTGTAATACATCACCACAAATATTCACATTTTCCTCAGTTAGCAAACTAGTAGATGAAAATCTTGGAAAATGGTAGAAAAGAAAAGAAGGTTTAAAGGTTCCCCTGTTCAGTTGTGATTGACTTAAGGTGACAATGCTCATCTCCAATTCTCAGCGTAGGGATCCTGCATTTTCTGAGAGAGGCTTCTGTCATTATGTGGCCCACATGAAAGTACAGAACACAAAAACCTTTCCCACTAAAGTGGTACCTATTTATCTACTTGCATTTGCATGCTTTAGAACTGCTAAGTTGGCAGGAGCTGGGGTGATGATAATGAAAGCTCACCCTGTCACACAGCTCTCAGGTCTTCAACCCTGACTGTCAGCTTTCCAGCTGAGAAGCCCAGCATCTTAACCAGTGGTGGGTTCCTCCCGGTTCGGTCCAGTTCGGCCGAGCCGGTAGCGGTGACGATATGATGTCACCGAACCGGTTCTCCCCCCTCCCACCCCCCCACGTTATTCTTACCTTTTATTTGGTCCCACCCCCAATCTATTGCTGCCTCCTGAGTCCCAGCTGATGACTAGAGGGAAAAAAAACTGTTTAAACTCTTGCCGCGGGGCTTCAAAGGGCCGTCCTACAGCTGATCAGTGTTAAAAGCAAACAAATGAGTTGGGTCGTAAGTGCGAGGACTTGGTTGTAAGTGCGAAGACCTTCCAGGATTGACTTTGGCCAGCTAGCCATGCCCACCTAGTCACATGACCCCCCAAGCTACACCCACAAAATAAGCCACGCCCACAGAACCGGTAGTAAAAAAATTTAGAACCCACCCGTGATCTTAACCATTAAGCCAATGTACTGCCCTGGTAGAAAAGAACCCCACTTATATATTTTTTCTTTTCTACAATAAAAATAGATTCCTCTTTCTTAGTAGAGAGATAGTCCAAATCACAGAGCTAGAGATCAAAATTATAATAAGACTACTTTTCCATACCTTGTCCTTTAGGGAAAGGTCAGCACCTGCTTCAACTAATAATGGAATGATAGATTGGTTCTTCATTTCACAAGCATAGTGGAGAGCAGTCCGTCCTGACTAGAGAAAAAACATAATACATATTCTTCAGGAATAAGTTGTACCCTTACCCTAATATCCTTCTCAGTAAGTATAAAATTAAAAATGGAATTCTTTCTTGCAAACTCTTGAATTATCATATATTTATACTTTTGTTCTATTGTTTCATTCACTTATAGACTGGACATTGATGTCGTGCAGGTATCTCTATGCTACTCAACTGCAAAATGGCTCCATAAATAAAATAAGCTAAATTAAAAAATTAAATTAAAAACTTCAAAACAAAATTATCATAATTAATATATACTACAGAATTTAAACGGTCTCAATTGGGTTGCAACAGTAAGGATAAAATGTAGCAACTTCTTCAAATTATGCATTAAATTGCAACCAAGGATGAATTTACATGGCCTGCCAACTCTTTTTCAATTAGTTCCATTTGTATTATTTTCTGCAAGTGTTCACCTGTATTCCTTAATTGCCTTGAGATTTGAAAAACCATCTTATTCCATTGTAGTCCTGAAGCTGAGTACAATATTGTACTAGGACAGATTCAGTGATCTAGTCCTATATCCGTGATGCAAACCTATGGCACGCGTGCCACAGGTGGCACACGTAGCCATATTGGTGGGCACGGGAGCGTTGCCCTAGCTCAGCTCCAGCACACATGTGCACGCTGGCCAGTTGATTTTTGGGCCTTCTGGGCCCAACGGAAGTCAGCAAACGGGCTATTTCCAGCCTCTGGAGGGCCTACGGGGAGGTGGGGAAGGCTGTTTTTACCCTCCCCAGGCTCCTAGAAAGCCTCTGGAGCCTGGGGAGGGCAAAAGATGGACCTACCGGGCCCACCATGCCATCACATGCCAAAAGCAGGGGGAGCATGGAGAGTTGCGCACACGTGCTTGGGGGGGCAGGGCACATAGAATTATGGGTGTGGGCACGCACGTGGGCAACCACTCCACACTCCCCCAGCTTTTGGCATGTGACAGCAAAAAGGTTAGCCATCACTGTCCTATATTATTCCCAACATACAGACTGAAATAAAAATAAGGTTTAACTCTGATTTGAATAACCCTACTATGCAATATTGTGTGGTTTTAATTAAAGAATTGAAGCAGGTGAAGCCACAAAGTTCTAGCAGACGTAAATCATACTTGTTCAGGAGATACAATTATTTGCTAAAGGACTGAACTCTTCACGGCCACTTCTGTTTGGTTTGCTTTGGTGTTTTAATTTATTTTTATTTTTATTTTACTTCGAATTTAAACATTACCCCCATCACCAAGCCATGCCCACAGAACCGGTAGTAACAAATTTTACATTTCACCCCTGCCCTGATAGATCTCATGTTAAGTTGGCTGGCTTGGGTACTAGACAAAAAGAAAGAAGCAATTGCTCCCATTTTCTCTCCATATAGGGCATGGGTGTCAAACTTAATCGCGTCACATGATGTAGCACGATGTATCACAACGTTTTTTGCCTTTGCGGAGCTGGGGTGGGCTTGACCTGCATGTGACGCATTGGGCCCATGGGCCACCAGTTTGACAGGCCTGATATAGGGGAAATCATAGGGGAAAAATGGTCCTCTCCTGCCTCATCCTTAGGGAAATGAAGAGGTTTTTATGTGTCACATCCAGTTACCACCCAAACTATAATCTAGATACAATTAGAGTATATGAATAGATGCACTTACATCATCTTGAGTGTTAACATATGCACCAGCTCTAAGCAGCATCTTGATGAGGTTTTCATTCTGCTTACTTTTAGAAACCTGTTTAGCAGATTTTAGGGGTGAGAAAGGAAAAAAAAAAAAGGAACATTATTGGAAAATGGGTAACACTGTCATATTAAGAAGGCAGCTAATAAAGACTTTCTCTTATATAAATTTATCCAAATCCGGCTGAGAACATCTAGGTGTTCTTAAACTTCCTGATACTAAAAATTCTCAAAACATAATTAGGATATCTGATTAGTTGCCTCCCAAGTTCTGTCCTAAGAAACTATGGATTATTCTAAGTGTGTTCAGATCTTTCATAATGTACATTTCATAATGTAAACACAATTTGTAGGATCACAATTTGAATGATGGAATGGCTCGCCCTGACTATGAATTGAGAAATTGCACATGGGGAGTATCCATAACATGCATAACTACAGTAGAAAAGTTATGTGCCAGTTACTTAAGAGATACACTTTAATACTTAGACAGTTGAACAGTGCCCAAGAAGCAGCATTTGAATATTGGCTAATTCCATTTTTAGGAAGTCAAAAATTATTATAGGAAGAAAAGTAGTACATCATGGGAATGATACAGATGAGTTGCCAAATGACTTTTTCTACATTGGGTTCTTCTAGATGTTGTAATTTCCCACATAGCTAGAAAGTCACTGTCACGGCACATCTAGAACACACCAAGTTGAAAGATAAGGGTAAACAATCACCTCTTTAAATACTAATGTAGAAAACACTCTTTAAGGGAGACAGGGCTCTTACAGATAAAAGTTAAAAGTGTTCTGTACAAATTAGAATTAAAAGTGTTCCTGTAATCAATGGGTACAGAAAATATTAGACTGTGTACTGTAAACCTTTGAGGGTGTTTTTTGCTTCAAAGAAGAGCAAAACGACTTCCTGAATCTGCTACATGGCAATATGACCGGCTTTGTTTTGCCTTCCTGGTTGGAAGACAGTTTGCGTGCACAGAACATAGAATAATAGGATTGGAAGGGAATTTGGAGGTCTTCTAATCCAGCCCCCTGCCTGTGGTAGGAAATATTCCATTCTGGACAAATGACTGTCCAGTCTCTTCTTGAAAACCTCCTGTGATGGTGCACCCGCAGCTTCCAGAGGCAAGCTGTTCCACTGGTTAATTGTTCTCACTCTCAGGAAACTTCTTCTTAGTTCAAAATTGGTCTATCCTTGATTAATTTCTAGCCATTGCTTCTTCTCCTGCTCTCAGATGCTTTGACTCCCTCTTGTTTGTGATAGCTCCTCAAATACTGGAAGATTGCTATCACATCACCCCTAGTCCTCCTCTTCATTAGACTACACCAGGGGTCAGCAACCTGCGGCTCTGGAGCCGCATGTGGCTCTTTCACCCCTCTGCTGCAGCTCCCTGGCATTCAAAATATGTGTCAAAACCACCAATGTGCGACACCCACCGGCACACAATTTATTGAGCTTTTCAAACCCCCACCCCCTCGGTAGGCCAACCATGGATAAATCCAAAAAAAGAAAAGTTTCAGAAGAAAACAAAGTTTAATTCAACTACATATGCTAGTTTTGTGGCCGCTCAAGAAATAGTCAGGCGCGGGAAGGATTTTGTGGCTCCCAGTGTTTTCTTTTCTGTGAGAAACGGGTCCAAATGGCTCTTTGAGTGGTTTAAAGTTGCAGACCCCTGGACTAGACATATCTAGTTCCCTCAATCATTCATTGTATGGTTTAGCCTTCAGATCCTTATCATCATTGTTGGTCTTCTCTACATGCTCAGGAGCCTCTTCTGCTTTTAGAGTGAGCTGGCTAATGCTAAGGAGACACTCTGGGGGTGTTCTAAATTTTCTGGCACTTTAAAAATAACTGGAAAAAGACTGTGGAAATATGAAGCTCCTACCAAAAGCTTTTTGGGTTTTTGTTTTTTTTTGCCAGAGACAAAAGAAAGACATAAGGGAGGGCTGCATGGCAGATTTTACCAAGCAGAGAAGATTGTAACCAATAGGACAAGATCACTAGAATCCAATATCTTCCAATAAGAAAAATCAGAAAGTCATTATCAAGAATCCCTGCAACTTTCAAAAGCAAACTATATAAAGAAAAAAAAAAATCCCAACCTCTCAGAAAAACTTTTTCTCATTCTTGTCCTATATATCAGATTATCTAGCCCTGTCTTTTGAGTGGACTGGTCTGTTCCCATCTGTTCTTTGTTTTTTCAATGCCATCATATAATTTTTCAGTACAGGTAGTCTTCGACTTACAACGGCGTGTTCGAAGTTACAACGGCACTGAAAAAAGTGACTTATGACCTTTTTTCACACTTATGACACTTTGCAACATCCCCATAGTCACGTGAATGAAATTCAGATGCTTGGCAACTGACTCACATTTATGACGGTTGCAGTGTCCCGGGGGTCACCTGATCACCTTTTGCAAATGTCTGACAAGCAAAGTCAGATTCATTTAACAACTGCATTACTAAGGAGCCTGAGTGGCGTGGGAGGCTAATGCCTCCTACAAAGGCAGCATTTAACATCCAGCTGCCTGCAATTACTTCAAGTTCAATTCTCACCAGGCTCAAGGTCGACTCAGCCTTCCATCCTTTCTAAGGTGGGTAAAATGAGGACCCGGTTTGTGGGGGCAATAAGCTGACTTTGTATAATGACTTCATAAATATGAAGGCTATTGCTTAACGCATTGTAAGCCGCCCTGAGTCTCCGGAGAAGGGCGGCATATAAAAATAAATAAATAATAAAAAAAAAACTTAAGAACTGCAGTGATTCGCTTAACAAGGGTGGCAAGAAAGGTTGTACAGTGGGGCAGCATTCACTTAACAACCGTCTCACTTAGCAACAGAAATTTTGGGCTCAGCTGTGGTGGTAAGTCAAGGACTGCCTGTATTGTGTAAGGACTAATTTTCACATGGAAACAATATGAAGTGTTTCATTGAGATGAATCACAGTTACCTCTTTGAATCAGGAAAGAGAATTATGGTACCCCTAAAGCCCAAAACTCCTTGCTCAGTTGAATCCAAACCTAAAACACGTAACTACAACAACTGTGGTAGAAAGGACAGGGCACACGGATAATAACCGTAGGCATCATTTGATACTTGTTTGACCTGGAACTTACCATGAGAAGATATCCTAGTAGCATAACAGGCATTAAAAGTATGATGAGCAAATAATCAAGGAAACCAAATCGTTTTTTGACTGCGTAGTGCAAACAGGTTCTTTCTTTCTAGAGAGAAAAGAAAGAGTTTTAAGACAGTTTCTCATTCCATTGACCATAAATTATTTGCGATTTGTTTGATGTCAGCTTGGAAAGGTTTTCGATGCTTTCCCATTGCAGATATTACCCTGGAGATATTCTCGGTTCCAGGAGAGTTACCCTCAGTTACTGTATAAGGAAAGAAAGAATGGCCTTGTTGAGACAGTAATAACAAGGAATAAGGGATTTAGGAAGGACTAGAAGCTACCTGAATTGTTATCAGCCTGCAGCGGGAATGGGACAACTTGCCACAGCCAACTTGCTGCAGCCAACTCACCATGGCCAACTCATCAAGGCCAACTCATTGCAGGACAACTTGCCATAGCCAACTCACTGAAGCCAACTAATGGGCAACTCACCATGGGCAACTCATCATGGGCAACTCATTGCAGGACAATTCACCACGGCCAACTCGCTGCAGCCAACTCATCATGGCCAACTCACTGTGGGACAACTTGCCATGGCCAAGTCGTTGCAGCCAACTCATCATGGCCAACTCGCCACGGCACAACTCATTGCGGGACAATTTTAACAATTCTATTTAATTATTTAAAATAAATAAACATTATTTTAATTTTTGCCATTCACATTTCAATTCTGCATTTTTGCATCCTTTTTTTTTTTAAATTATTCCACTATTTATTTGCTATTAGTGTAACTCTTGTCCTGCAGTGAGTTGTCCTGTGGCGAGATGGCCATGGCAAGTTGTCCTGCAGCGAGTTGGCCATGGCAAGTTGACAGTGACAATTTGCCTTCTTCTTTTTTTCCTAATTCATACATGAATAATGTATAAATTATAATTTGCATGTTTTTGAGGACCTGGATAGTTTATTCAGAGAAGCAAAATCTACCACATGTTGTATTGATGCTTGCCTTACATGGCTTGTATCTATTTACCAGAAAGCTCTGGGAGTTGGCCTGGTAAACATGATTAATATTTCTCTGAGGGAAGGGAGGTTTCATCCTTTTTAAAGCCATCTTCAAGAAGTCCTCATTTAATCTCTTAAATTATGTAATTAAGATCAGCTTCTAAAGTTCCATGCTTTTCAAAGCAATCTAGAACTCTCCTAATCCCCCAGAAGGAGGCAAAAGACTCATTGCTGATAGCTGCACCCAATCCTAGATACAACTGGCTTTAAAACAATAGTACATTCTACAGATAACTTCCAAGCTTTAGAACATTTCTCTAATATGTTCTACATACATGGAACTTCAGCTGGGACACAGCGTTGCAGCAGATTGATCTCCATAGAAACCATGATGCAGCAATTTTGATTTCTTCATATAGTTATTATTATCTAAAAAGCCTCAAACGATTTGAACCAAGGACCACTGAAAAATGCTTTCTCCTTGCAGATTAGCACCACCCACTTAGATCCTACAAAGCTTAGCTCCAACAAGTCACCAGAGGCCAAGATTTCCCCATGGTTACTCCACATCCATGGAATTTACTTCTCAACATAGTACAAATATGGAAGAGCCTGTAGTACAGTGGACTAATGCACTGTTATTAACATCTGCTGCTTGCAATTACTGCAAGGTCAAATCTCACCAGGCTCAAGGTTGACTCAGCCTTCCATCCTTTCAAAGGTAGGTGAAATGAGGACCCAGATTGTGGGGGCAATAAGCTGACTTTGTATAAATATACAAAAGTATGAAGGCTATTGCTTAACGCATTGTAAGCCACCCTGAGTCTCCGGAGAAGGGCGGCATATAAATTAAAGCAAAAAAAAAAAAAATTACCTCAACATTTAAGGGGGCTTTATAAATGCCTTTCTTTCACATTTTTAATAATTTCCTATCTTTGTGATCTATCTTAATGTACAACAATTTTAAATAATTCTTAGAAGCAAAAGCCTTCTGCCAATACTTGGAATTTTACTAAAACATTTTGATGTCATAACCCCTTGATGGCGAACCTATGGCACATATGCCAGAAGTGGCACGCAGCGCCCTCTCTGTGGGCATGCAAGCCGTCGCCCCAGTTCAGCTCCATGTCTTGCATGGAAGTCAGTGGTGAAATCCAATTTTTTTTACTACCAGTTCTGTGGGCGTGGCTTGGTGGGCGTGGTTGGCTTGTTGGGTGTGGCAGGGGAAGGATACTGCAAAATCTCCATTCCCTCATCACTTTGGGGCCAGCCAGAGGTGGTATTTGCCGGTTCTTCGAACTACTCAAAATTTCCACTACCGGTTCTCCAGAACCTGTCAGAACCTGCTGGATTTCACCCCTGATGGAAGTCAAACATTTAGTAGCGCTGGTTATGATATTTTATCCCCCCATTTCCCAGAAACATTCATAAGAAAGGAATAATAAAGGTGGGATTTTAGAATTCAAACATACAAACACCTTCCACAAAATATCCAAGACTTCACAACTAAGAAGGAGAGAGTCTGGATAGTGGATGTTGCGGTACTTGGAGACAGAGAAGAGAAAGAATTGTAGGAAATCACAAAATACAAAGACATAGAAATAGAATGACTGTAGCAAACCAAAGCAAAAATAATACTAATAGTCATAAGTACCTGAGGCACAATTCTAAAATATCTGGAGCATCTCTGCTTGAGCAACATCTTGAACATCACTGACATTGACAAAATCATCATCAGTCAATAGCAAAAGGCAGCTATAATTGGAACAGTTTATAATCCTGCAATAACATCTTTAATACCATCAAACAATGGTGCAATAGTGTTTGTGAGCAGGATTCACTGGGATAGGGATTTTCTATCTTTCACGGTGAGTTGTATTGTGTTGGGAGGGGGTGTGCATGAAGGGAGGCTCAGCCAATCTCATAGTACACATGTTGTACTCTGACAATAAAGGTTTGAATTGAATTGAATTGAAGAACCCAACAGGTGTATACAAATGCCACAGCCAGTCTAATCATCTGGCTAATTGTGCAACCATCCACAATAATAATGGATAACACCAATAGTAATAAGTACCTTACGTGCAATTCCAAAACATCTGGAGCACCACACGAAAGCACCATCAACATTGAGAAAAATCACAATTAGTCAATTGCAATTAGTCAGAACCACTGGCATCCTTCAATGATACCTTTAATACTATTAAACAACAGCCTAGATCCTTGGGAATGACCCAGCAGATAGACAAAAATGCCAAATGCAGATTAAATCACTGGCTGACTGTGCATTCAACCATCATTTAAAAATCAAGCTGGCAAGCCACAATTGGATAATTGAAACGCCATTCCTTTTTTGCAAGCTTCACATCCATTACATGTACAAATGTAATGGATGTGAAGCATGTTAATAACTTTATTAGAAATTATAATTAGAAGGCTAATAGAAGGCTACTACAAACTAAAAAGAATTAAAAAGAAAAATAGAAGGTGCAGAAAGAAAAACAAACTGGAAAAGGAAGAAGAAATAAGAATACAGCAAACAAAAAGGAAAAGAAATGACTTTCTTCACAACCAGTACAAAGACTTTTAATAGCCTTCTTTAAAACACAACAAATGATCTCTTCTTCTCATATCTTATCTATAAACAGAGATATAGGTTACCAAAAACATTAGTTACATCTCCTCATTTTGCCTCTATCACTGAAGGGTTGCCCCCGGTTCGGACCGGTTCTATAGAACCGGTAGTAAAACTGGCGGGAGGCTCCGCCCACCAACCCCGACGTCATCAGGAAGCTTCTGCACATGCGCAGAAGCGTGAGCGAGCACACGCATGTGGGGCTCCATTGTGAACCAGTAGTAAAGATAAGTAGAACCCACCCCTGGCCTCTATGTCTGGAATGCCTGCCTCACCCTTCAGAACTCAGAAAGGAAACCTACATTTCTACAAAGCTTAAGAGGTGATTTTAAACCGGTGTTTTTCAAACCTGCCCACAATAAGATGTGTGAATTTCAACTCCCAGAATTCCTCAGCTAGCATATCCTTCCTCTATTCTCTTTGCACATCAGTCCTGGTTTTAGCAACCTAAGAAGAGGTCCTATTGCAGTAGCTGCTCTCACCTTATTTTTTATGTTCACATCAGCATTCATTTTCAGAAGGTAACTGACGATTCTATTGTGCCCTTTTTTGCATGCACAGATTAATGGCGTGTCTCCACCAAAATAGTCCTGGATATTCAGATTATTTCTGTCTTCTTCCAAGAGGAGCTGAAGTTCATTGAGGTCATTATTATAAGCTGCCTGGCAAATGGGCTGAGGGAAGGAAAGAGAGAAAGGCAGGAGAACTTCAGTAAGCAGTTTCAACAGCTTTTGATTTAAGACAAAACGATAAATGTATTGTGGGTTGTTACTTCAACACATCCATCCACCCTTTTGAATTGTAACACACAAACTTTTTTCAACATACAGGTAGTCCTCAATTTCCAACCATTTGTTTAGTGACTGCTCAAAGTTATAACGGCACTTATGACCATTTTTCACACTTACGACAGTTGCTGCATTCCTATGGTCACGTCATCAAAATTCAAATTCTTGGCTACTGGCATGTATGTATATATATATTAATTTGATTTATATGCCGCCCTTCTCCGGAGACTCAGGGCGTCTTACAATGCGTTAAGCAATAGCCTTCATACTTTTGTATATTTATACAAAGTCAGCTTATTGCCTCCACAAACTGGGTCCTCATTTCACCTCCCTTAGAAAGGATGGAAGGCTGAGTCAACCTTGAGCCTGGTGAGATTCAAACTTACAGTAATTGCAGACAGCTGGTGTTAATCACAATGCTTTTAGTCTGCTGAGCCACCAGGCCCATGTATATGATGGTTGCAGTGTCCCCAGGTCACGTGATCCCTTTTTGTGACCTTCTGGCAAGCAAAGTCAAATGGGGAAGCCACATTCACTCAACAACTGTTTTATTAACAACTGTAGTGATTTACTCAACAACTGTGGCAAGAAAAGTCGTAAAATGGGGCAAAGCTCACTTAACAACAGTCTTGTTTAACAAACATAAATTTTGGGCTCAACTACGGTCATAAGTTGAGGATTACCTGTAATTCTAATGCAGGCTAGGTAAATGAACTTTCACCAACGGATCAGAAGTGGTATTCAGCCGGTTCGTACCAGTTCAGAGGAACCGGTAGTGGAGATCGCAGGTGGGCCGGCCCCCCAAACCCCGCCGGCTCTATGCTGTCCTATTTAGGCATGGTTTTGAGGCTGGGTGCATGTGTGGAAGACACATGCGTGAGCAAAGCACATGTGCAGAAAGTTGGACACATGCACGGAAGGTGCCCGCATGAAGCAAGCATGCACATGCAAGGCAAACCGGTAGCAACAAAATGTGAAACCCACCACTGTGACAGATGATTACTGTAAGTTGAAAGCAGCCTGAGATCTCATCCATGAGGTAAAGAACAAATTGGTGTCTTCAGTTCTATAAATTAATACACATGGGTCTTATCATGCATATACAACTTGTTCTTGTGAAAGCTCTTTACTTTCAAAACCCTGATACCAGCATTTCCCCTCCAAGATGCCTCTTTCCCAGGGCTAAGAGAAAGTGACTGGCTCAAGCTAGCTTTGCGCCTAAGGCGGGACTAGAAATCACAGCCTCCCAATTTTTAGCCTGATGCGTTAACCACTACCACCAAACTGACTTTCACAGAGCAGACTTAGGATCATCCTAAACTTTTAGAGATAGACAAAGAAACCAAGGAGAGGAGAAAAGGAATTGCAGCAATGCAGCATTCACCAAACTCCTGGTGAAGTTGAAGTTTGAAGTTGAAGTTGAAACCAAGAACACATTAAAAAAAAAAAAAAAGCTGCAAACATCCCTGATTTTTATTTCCAAAGAATGGCTCTGGGGTCTTTGTGGTATCCAAACACTTTCTTGGAAATAAAGGTAATGTGCTATCAACATGCCGTTTTCCATTTCCTCGTTTTGTTTCATCATTTCATTGTTTTGCTTTATTTTAAAATCAAATTAAATCAGCCCAGCACCTGGTGAGCACTCTTGGAAACATCACAGGAGAATTAACATACAGTATATAGGCATCACACTGGATACAAATGTGTAATGAATAAATTCATATACATGTTAAAAGAAAGTAAAATAGTTTTTAAAGGTGTGCAATTAAGGGACAACTTGAATAAGTATTGCATTAAGGCTGCAGTTCCACATTAAATCCACAAAGTGGTGCTAATAGATTAACAATTAATCTAAAACTACTGGTGTGACAGCTTCAAGGATTGCTGAATTACCAATCACTCTTGTTTTCCCTGAATTGTTTTTTTTTTTCCCAGTTGAAAAGCCCAATAGGCAGGATAACAGTGAGATCTCCATGCTTTAACATCCATTCTCCGAATAAGAATTCTTGAGTCATTTGGTGAATAATTGCTATTGCAAACTGTAAAACTGATCATGATATGAGATCCATCATAGTTAAGTAAGGCAAACGGCAGCACTTAGATGATTTTGGAAAAAAAAAAAGATACCTAAAACAGGGTTAGATCTGGTTAGTATTTGGAGGAGAGACCACCCATCAAGAAATCGTCAAGAATGTATGCTTGATTGGGAGGCCCAAAGATAAATCGTTTTGGTAACTCAGGTATGTAGTCACCAGGAATCAACTTAAGGGCAACTATTTTTTCAAAGATCTAAAATGGGGAGGGATTTCAAAGAGGGATCAATGAAATCAGCAAGTATTGCGGGCCCAATTGGTAAAAGAAAGCTCAGGACCATATTGGTTGGAAACATGAAAAAGAGGCCTTCATCCTGCAATGGATAGACAATGGCTAAGAGGAGGAGGAGGAGGAGGAGGAGGAGGAGGAGGAGGAGGAGGAGGAGGAAGTGAGGGATTCTTTGAAAGTACACAGCAAACTAGGCCATGAATTTTCAGGGCTTGGCATGGCTGCCCTTCCCACAAGGCATAATCTGGCCAACTCATGCCATAAAGAGATTTGTAGTCTCCAATTCATACACATAGACTGGACTGTTGCTTCAAAGATCTCTAAGTCTAATCAGCTGTGTGATGTAGAGAGCACTGACTTCTACTGTTAATGAATACAAATTGGCAGCCCTCTAAGGAATGTAAACTGTTTAACAAAAGGCTAGTGAAAAAGGCTTGTAGGTTAGGTTAGAACTGTTTTTGTTTTATCATAACGAATCAAAAGGTAAAAGTCCATACGTCCTTTCCCTCTCCAAGCCTAGAATACTTGGGTTTCAGAAATTGCATAATTTCAGTCCAAAACGGACTATCCAACTGTGTGAAAAAAAGAAAAGAGGAAACTACATAAAGGCAACTATACAGATCAGAATGGTTTGACTCTATGAGTTATTTCAATTCAAGTCAATTGTCATAATAACTTTCAGTTCAGCCATAATGTCGGCAATTATAAGATCCCACCAAGTATGAAGAATTTGTGCCTCAGTTTTCTTGTTTTCTTTCTCCATCCTCTTGTTGTGATCCCCGAGCCCGTCTTATCAGGGGGAGAAGACTCCAAAAGTGAAGGAGAGGAGTTGGCAAGGCCTCCCTCTCCAGGACCCTCCTCTCTGGCAATGCCTCAGGTGTCCTCCGAAGGCCAAGAGATAGGCCAGGAGCCAGGCACTTCCGAGCAGCCGCAGTTAGACAGCGACGGAGATGAGTCTTGGCTGGATCCCCGACAGCGTCAGAAAGACAAGCACATGCAGCAGAGAAGGAGGCATGCCAGAGATTAAGCTGAGTCACTGGACCACACCCCACAGGGGATAAAAGGGGGTGTGGTGGCCATTCAGGCCTTGTGACGGACAAAACTGAAAAGCTAGCAAGTCATACTGCATTTCTGGAACTTCGTTATATGCCCTCCTTTGATTTATTATGGACTGGACTTGACAATTCTTTGGCTTTGTGGACTTATTTTGGTTTATCGGACGGAGGAGAAAAACCTCCCTTTGTGAGTAAAGTTTTTGGCAGGCAGCTACTGGGTTGCTGCCAATTCTGTTATCTCAAAGAAATTCCTGACTACTGGTTTAATTAACTCCTGGCTGACTGTTTGTGTGCGTGTGTGAGATGGGGACAGAACAACTCTTAGCTTAGGGTTATCTCATTTTGAACTATACAGGTAGTCCTTGACTTACAACAGTTCATTTAGTGATGGTTCAAAGTTACAACGGCACTGAAAACAGTGACTTACGACAGTTTTTTGCACTTACAACGATTGCAGAATCCTCATGGTCACATGATCAAAATTCACATTTATGATTCATATTTATGACGGTTGCAGGGTCCCAGAGTGATGTGATCCCCTTTTGTGACCTTCTGATAAGCAATCAATGGGGAAGCCAGGTTCACTTAACAACCGCATTACTAACTTAACAGCTGCAATGATTTACTTAACAACCATGGCAAGAAAGGTCATAAAATGGGGCAAGATTCACTTAACAATTGTCTCACTTAGCAACATCATTTTGGGCTCAGTTGTAGTCGTAAGTTGAGGACCACCTGCCAATCTAAAGGTAGCTAACTTTTCTGAAGGATCAGCTGTAAATACTCTAAATGAATCGGTGACACTGCTTAGGGGTTGTATTTTTCAATAGTGCGTTCTTACGGAAAGAAAAAGAGAGGTAACATTTATCCTGGTTATTTTTTGATACCATGATATAAAGATATATTGGTGGCATGGGCATAGGGAGAGTGGGAGAGAATGGCAAAGCCCCAAAGTAACAAGAGTAGAGTAGAGTAGAGTAGAGTAGAGTAGAGTAGAGTAGAGTAGAGTAGAATAGAATAGAATAGAATAGAATAGAATAGAATAGAATAGAATAGAATAGAATAGAATAGAATAGAATAGAATAGAATAGAATAGAATAGAATAGAACTTTTTATTGGCCAAGTAAATACTCTAAATGAATTGGTGACACTGCTTAGGGGTTCTATTTTTCAATAGTGCATTCTTACGGAAAGAAAAAGAGAGGTAACATTTATCCTGGTTACTTTTTGATACCATGATATAAAGATATATTGGTGGCATGGGCATAGGGAGAGTGGGAGAGAATGGCAAACCCCCAAAGAAACAAGAGTAGAGTGGAGTGGAGTGGAGTGGAGTGGAGTGGAGTGGAGTGGAGTGGAGTGCAATGGAATGGAATGGAGTAGAGTAGAGTAGAGTAGAGTAGAGTAGAGTTGAGTAGAGTAGAGTAGAGTTGAGTAGAATAGAATAGAATAGAATAGAATAGAATAGAATAGAATAGAATAGAATAGAATAGAATAGAATAGGAGTTGGAAGGGACCTTGGAAATCTTCTAGTTCAATTCCCTGCTCAGGCAGGAAATCCTATACCCGTGTCGGCAAACCTATGGTACGTGTGCCGGAAGTGGCATGCAGAGCCATTTTTCCGGGCACACGAGCCATCACCAAGTTCACCTGAAACTGCTCATGCACGTGTGCCCCAGCTGGTGTTCAGGCCTCTGGTGCGCATGAGCGCAATTCAGGGGACCCAGCTGGTCTTCGGAGCTCTCCTGAGCATGTGCGCATGTTTGCGCATGCATGCAATATTGTGCACGCATGTGCAGACAGCGTTTGCGCACATGCATTGCACGCACGAAAGCTGTGCATATGCGCATATGGTGAGATTGCACACACAGCACACGCTAGTGCACATGCGCAAAAGCTGTGCGCGTGCGCAGATGGTGCGGTTGCGTGCGCAGCACATGGGGAGGAGCCAGCGTTACCGTGGATGGCACACGAGCGGGTGCAGCGTGCGAAGCGCGTTCTTGTTCAGCATTCGGTAAGTAAATGATTCGCCACCACTGGCCTATACCAGTGATGGCTAACCTTTTTGCCATCGCGTGCCAAAAGAGGGGGACCACAGGGAGGTCACTCACGTGCATGCCCACACCCATAATTCAATGTGCCCAGCCTCTGCTCATGCGCGTGCATCCTCACTGCAGCCCTCCCTTGCTTTTAGCATGCAATGGCACAGTGGGCCTGTTTTTCACCCTCCCCAGGCTCCAGAGGCTTTCTAGGAGCCTGGGGAGGGTGAAAACAGCCTCTCCCCCCCCCCGAGGCTGGAAACAGCCCATTTCCCAACTTCCGGTGGGACTGGAAGGCCCAAAAATCAGCTGGCCGGTGCTGGAGCTGAGCTATGGCAATGCTCGCATGCCCACTGATATGGCTCTGTGTGCCACCTATGGCACCCATGCCATAGGTTCACCATCACGGCCCTATACCATTTTAGACAAATGGTTATCCAATATCTTCCTAAAAACTTCCACTGTTAGAATATCCTAATGATGTGAAATAAACTACATTCCTTATGTATTCCTTGTCATGACACTAATATAAAACGGTGGAGCTTGCATTATGATGACACAAACCACGTTTCATCATTCTGGTGTCTTCGTGACAAGGCGTGGGCCCCTCTAATTCAGAGGGCGCGTATATCATCCTGACTTTCTCCTTTGCCTGAGAATGTCTTATGTACAGGAGTTTCATCAGCATGGATTGTGCTTCAGAATCACCGCACGTCTACATTTTGCATTTCAAGACAGTGCATGAACAAAAGCCACAATAACCCAGGTGAAGGATTCAGAAATCCAAATCATTTCTGAAATGGAATGCAGCTCAACTGGATATGCTTATACTACAAACCCGTGTGTTTATAGATTAAGCGGGTTGGGGATCCAAATTGCATTTTCTCTATTTACTTTTAACAAATAGGGACTGTCTCCCCTAGTTACAGAGTTTTCATAAGAAGTTTTTAAATGTAAAATTATTTTTTTCTTGAACAATGACAGAGAGTTGTATCTCTTAGCCTTGTGAGGTAATCCAGGCAAGAAGCACAGCCAGGAATTTTAGCTTAACCTTTATTGTAAAGATGCATTAGCAGAATCTTGCAAGGCTGAAAGTACCTCTTCCATCCCTCATTTTTATTTTCCTAAAAACTACGGATAGTTCCTTCTGAGATTCTTTTACCATCCCTCCCAGTGGTGAAATTCAATTTTTTTAACTACTGGTTCTGCAGGCATGGCTTGGTGGGCATGGTTTGACTTGGTGGGCGTGGCTTGGTGGGCATGGCAGGGGAAGGATACTGCAAAATCCCCATTTTCTCCCCACTCCTGGGAGAAGGATATTGCAAAATCTCCATTCCAGGGGTGAAATGCTCCTGGTTCGGATCAGATCGCCTGATCCGGTAGTGAAGGTTCGGAGAACCGATAGCAAAAATTCCTGTCCCCATCCCCATTGCCCAGCTGAGCCGAGCAATCATCAGAGGCTTTTTTTTTTTTAATTTTTAAAAGCATTTTTTCTACAACCTCTTTGGCCGAAAAAAATGCTTTTAAAAGTTAAAAAAAAAAAGCCTCTGATGATCGCGCGACTCAGCTGGGATCATCAGAGGCTTTAAAAGCATTTTTTTACAACCTCTTCAGCTGAAGAGGTTGTAGAAAAATTGGTTTTAAAAGTTAAAAAAAAAATTGACCACGCCCACTCAGTCATATTACACCCCCCCCCCACCAAGCCATGCCCACAGAACTGGTAGTAACAAATTTTACATTTCACCACTGCTCCATTCCCACCCCATTCTGGGGCCAGCCAGAGGTGGTATTTGCCAGTTCTCTGAACTACTCAAAATTTGCACTACTGGTTCTCCAGAACCTGTCAGAACCTGCTGGATTTCAACCCTGATCCCTCCTCTTTTTAGACTAAAATTTAATTTATCAGTCTGTGGCTCTTCCTCATGTCTCCCAAGATCATTGCCACATACTGTATCATTACAAAATCCCAAAATACACATACCGGTTTACTATTCTTTAAGCTTGCAATTGTAAGCCAGTTTGATGTAATCACTAAAGGCTCTGTGGAAGTGAAAGTTGGATTTTGAAGAGGAAGGATACTTGTGAACTGTATTATTGGAGAAGACTCCAGGGAATATCAGCGATAGCTATATAAATATAACTATAGCAAATATATCGTGAATAATCAGAGTCCTCACTTAAAGCACAAATGACCAGGCACAAATTATGAAAATATATATTAATATGAAACATATTGTGCAAAGATGTAGCTCTGGATAAGTCTATAATTCTGGGAAAGGTAGAAAGTAAGAGAAGAGGACAACTAGTCACAAGGAGATAAGGAATGACTCATTAAAGCAATAATGGGTGCACCATTGGAAAATTTGAAGGATCAGGAAGAAAATATATCATTGTGGTTGATAAGAGTGAACGCATACTTGATGGGCCTTGGTAGTACAGGGGTTTAAGGCACCCTGTTATTAAGCTGGTTATTAAGACCAGCTGCCTGCAATTACTGCAGGGTTCGAATCTCGCCAAGGCTCAAGGTTGACTCAGCCTTCCATCCTTTCTAAGGTAGGTAAATTGAGGACCCAGTTGTGGGGGCAATAAGCTGACTTTGTATAAAATATACAAAAGAATGAAGCTATTGCTGAGCACATTGTAAGCCGCCCTGAGTCTTCGGAGAAGGGCGGCATATAAATCAAATTTAAAAAAAAAAGGCACATAATCAAATTTGGAATTAAATGTAGACACAGGAACTTAGAAGAGGTTTTGGCAATATACCTATAATCACGGAGGAAAGTTTCTGTTTTAGATACTGCTCATACTTTCTAATGCAAACTGAAACCTTTAGTTAGGCTGATGAAGCAAGATATTTCATTATTATGTTTACACATTTTTCTTTGCTAACTCAAATTCAACATGCTGTTCCTGGTAGAGCGCTTTGAACACGTTCTGTCCTTATTGGACTGTTTTAGGGACTGGCGTATGCTTTAAATATCTAGCTCTATTTTAATTCCCGTTCTTATACTCAAAAAAGACTAGATTTGTCATTAGAACATTCACTAGTTTATACAGATACTGAGGAGATAAATCTGTTTTTTTCTTAGTAGTATCAAGCAAGCACTTGCTAGAACATTCATTGCTGTATCTCCAATCACCACCTTTAACCAACATCTCCAAAGTCCTTGATCAAGAGGTCACACACGGGCCACTTTTTCTGATTTCCATAAGCCACGCAACCCGGTTTCAGATATTTCCCTCTTCTAACTTCGATTCAATTCATATTTTAATGGAAAACTGTTGATTATTCCACTAGCTACTGATTCCCCATAAAAATGCAATTTCTCAGACTTGATAAGAGATGCTTCAATTTGATAAAAGCAAAACCAACCCCTTTGAACATATATCAAACAGGCTTCATTGCATAATAGCTACTGTTGAAGCCCATTTAAATAGTAGTAAATGGCTACAGAGTACTTACCTGTGAATATAGTATCCCCATGTTTTTCCTTTTGACGCCACTTGAAATCCTTTCATTAAATTTCTTTAAAATGTGATCCACAAAGCCTTTTTAGTGGAATATGGTGAAGAGCAAACTACCCCAAAGACTGTGCATTTTCCTTAAGTTCCCTAAGTACTTCCCATGCTTGGTGTAAGTGGTTTCTTAATCAGACGCAGAATGAGAGGCTCCACCCGGTGAAGCAGAGGGGTGTGCTCACTTCCTGCAAGCTCTCACAACTTTGTACAAGTTACAACAGAGAAGGTATTGGCACAGTTTGTCAGTGAAGCAATAAAAAAGTGGTTGGCTTAAGGAGGTTTGCAAACAGCCACAAAGATAAATTAACGTCCATATAGTTTAACTTTATCTCGAAGGAGAGCGGAATGAAACCGCAAAAATGCTGAAATACAAGAAAGTGCAGGTAAGGGAGTTTTAAAGACTCTCACTTCCTAAATAATAATGCCCTAATCCTTCTTTATATGAGTCCCGTGTTTAATCTGTCTACTTTTATGGAGGGATGAAAATGAAGTCATAACATGTTTAACAGCAGGACAAAGGCCTGATGGCAGTTGCAACCCTAGTTCAATAAGGAAGAGGGGGGAGGGGGGATGAACAGTACAAAAATCAAGTCACGAAAACAAATACATTATTGAAATAATACTTTCAATAATCTGTCATTGGGATACTTTAAGATATCCCAATGACAGATCTTAAAAGTAGGTCCACCTAAAGCAGGGGTCTCCAACCTTGGCAACTTTAAGACTTGCGGACTTCAACGGCTCTCCACCCACCTTGCTATCTGAATATCTGCTATACCTGAATATATACATACATACATACATACATACATACATACATATATATATATATATATATATATATGAAAACAAATACTGTACCTTTACAAGGAGGATACATGGGATGAGGGTGTGGCTAACTGATGAGGACTAATAAATCCGAAATAGATCTATCTTAGTTTCCTTAGTCTCTCAATGGGCAGCAGGGTGCTTGCTGGCTGCCTGAAAAAAGCCTAGAAACTAGTGGATTGGGATTTCACTGAACTAGGGCTGCATAAAAAACTTGGTTTATGTAGGAAGAACCTGGCTAAAGAGAAATGCACATAAAGGCCTATGAAAAGAAAAGAAAATGAATATATATATATATATATATACATATATATATATATATATACATACCTGATTGCTTATTTGTACCCTATGACTATCATTAAGTGTTGCACCTTATGATTCTTGATAAACGTATCCTTTCTTTTATGTACATTGAGAGCATATGCACCAAGGCAAATTCCTTGTGTGTCCAATCACACTTGGCCAATAAAACATCCTATTCTAAATTCAACTATAGTCATCTGCATGTCAGTATGGGAGATACTTGCAAACATTTTTTAAAAAAACTTACTTAGTGTACCTAATCAACTTTGGCTGATCTCAAAAGGCCTAGCTGGGAATTGGGGGGGGGTGAGGTGAGGAGAAACATACAGGAGAAAAGCAATATCTATTTTGTTACTTTAAAAAAAAAAGGAACATAATAATCAGGAATTGACCTTAACTCAAAAATCTTCTTGATGTTAATTAACTGCGCATCTGAGCTTTTGGGACCAAGTGGAGAATGTATTTAAGCAATGTCTGGGGGAACAAACATAGAATCTCTACTCCTACCCCAAGCACCCCTGAGTAATATTATATAGCCAGATAAGTACTGAATGAAGAAGTAAATTAACAGATTAACGGGGTTGGAAGGGACCTTGTAGGTCATCTAGTCCAACCCCCCTCCCCCTGCCCAACATTTCTTATAGATGGCAGTCCAGTCTCTTCTTGAAAGCTTCCAGTAATGAAGTTCCCACAACTTCTGAAGGCAAGCTTTTCCGTTCGTTGATTGTTCTCACTGTCAGAAAATTTCTCCTTATTTCTAGGTTGAATCTCTCCTTGATCAGTTTCCATCCATTATTCCTTGTCTGGCCTTCGGGTGCCTTGGAAAATAGCTTGACCCCCTCCTCTCTGTGGCAGCCCCTCAAATATTGGAACGCTGGTATCATGTCTCCCCTAGTCCTTCTTTTCAGTAGACTAAATAAGCAAGTGCTGGGTACAGTTTGCTTTGAGAATACATTAGGAATAGCCTATAGCCATAAATCAAAAATAGACACAATACTTCTTATGAGTCAAGTGGCCTAAACTCATAACTGGATGATCCAGATTAAATACCGAACATAGGTGGAGTTGTGACTTTGGACTAAAATTTAACAATTTCCCAGATAGTTCCATCTAATGCAGTTTCAATAACCACATTTATTATAGCAGAAGTTGAGGGTTTTTTTTTTACAGGGTTGTACCACACACATATAGGGGGAAAAAACATTGTTTTGGTTCCTTGAGCTCTAAATTAAATACTGAAAATGGAAAATTATTAAATGAAGATGCAAACAAGTTTCTATAAGGCGGTGAGAAAAACCATGATTTTGTTTTTTGTTTTTAAAAATCATGCTATTTATGAGAATTCATCTGTTTTATTGGCTTCTTTAATTAATTAACATAACTGAATGCCATCATGGTTCCATTGCAGTGACCACACATTATTCCACACACCTAACTATGTAGACTATGATCCTCATACAATACGCAATTATGACCATCTTATGAACTAAAATCTGAACAGAGGGGTTTTTTTTATTATTTATAATGTGAAATCAAGAGGAAGCAAATTCTGTGGGAAATGAAAAGTATTTTGACAGAGAAGACTGGAGAGAGAAAATCAAAGATTATCCAACATTATTTTCTCTTTTCTGGTTGCCTTTTCCCAAAAGAGAGAGAATTATTTTGGTTCATTTAGGTTCATTCAGGTTCTGACTGGTTATAATATTTGATTAATTTTCTTTCTAATTTGTTTAAAACATGCATTCAATTTGCTCTAATTGCATTAGTCTACTTTAAAAGTACTTATGATTTGGAGCTACACTTTTCAATGGAAAGGGGCTTGGTGACATTTTAATGAATAAATACAGCTAAATCTCTCTCTCTTTCTCTCTCTCTTTCCCAACTACAGCATTTAATTCAAATTTCAATAATTTGGAAATTCCATCATTTAATTTGGGGAATTTAACATGGAAGAATGTAATTGTCTAACTGTCAATAGATGAATTCTGCCAAGCATGATCCTTTAAGAAAAGTTCTGGCTTGTCTTGCTAACAATTTTCATTTTCGGAGGGAGTCTGAAACGGTTTTATTGTTGGCCTTTGGCAATAACGTTTTTTTATTTGACGTCAAAAGGCACAAGAAGATTTGCTATCCTTGACTGAACATTAACCAAGATGAAAATGAACCTAAGGTGACTAGGAGTTCCTAAAAAGAAGATTCTTTTGAGCTGAGGTGGTGCAGTGGTTAGAGTGCAGTACTGCAGCTACTTCAGCTGACTGCTAGTTCAGCAGATCAGCAGATCAAATCTCACCGGCTCAAGGTTGACTCAGCCTTCCATCCTTCCGAGGTGGGTAAAATGAGGACCCAGATTGTTGGGGTGTTGTCTTTGGTGTAAGCCGCCCAGAGTCCTCGGAGAGTGGGCGGCATAGAAATATGACAAATAAATAAATAAATAAATTAATTAATTAATTAATTAATTAATTAATTAATTCTGAGGCAGTGGTGGGATTCAGATGGTTCGAGCCGGTTTGGGTGAAGTAGTAGTTAAATTGCTGGCTGGTACCACCCCTCCCCACCTCGCCCCTTCCAAGAGTCCCCATGTACCCTGTTTTCACTCGCAGGAGGCTTCAGGGAGGCCTAGGCCCAAAATGGAGCGTGTGGGGGGGGTACCTCCCCACAGCCCGTTTTTGTTCCCAGGAGGTGGAGGGAGGCTTACTAAGCCCAAACGGGGCACGGGGAGACGGCGCGTCTTCCCCATGGCCCGTTTTTGTTCCCAGGGGGTGCAGGAGGCTGAGTGCTGCCTGTCACACCTCCTGGCCACGCCCACACCCACCCATTAGGGCAGAGAACCAGTTGTTAAATTATTTGAATCCCACCACTGTTCTGAGGGCATAATTGCAAACAATTCCAGGAAGAAACAGAAGATGGCTCATATGTGATTGCCAAAAGACTTCATGACTATCCCCCCAAAAACAAAACAATAAAACAAAAAGAGGACACAGAGAGCAAGTGGAGACAGATTATATCGTCAAGGAAGAATGTAAGGAGGTAATCTAGAATTTATAGAGAGATTATCAGGAAAGCTCAAATTGAGCTGAGATTTGCAAGGATATTAAGAATAACAAATGAGTCTTCCTTAGATATATAGGAAGAGGATCAGTATGACATCTGCTTGGGTAACAATCAGGGGTGGGCTGCTGGCGGTTCACAGGGGTTTGGGAGAACCTCTAGCTAAGATTCTTTGCAGTTTGGAGAACCCCCAAACCCCACTCCTGGCTGGGCCCGCTCATCCCTCCCCTACCAGGAGTCTCCATGTGGCCTGTTTTGGATGCAGGTGCGTGTGGGGCACACACCAAGGCTCAGAGAGGGTGAAAAACAGGCCTAGCATTTCAGGAAGGCCTCCAGAGGGCCTTTGGAGCCTGGGGAGGCCATTTTCGCCCTCCTGAAGCTCAAGGAAAGCATCCGGAGCCCAGGGAGGGCAAAAATGCTCCCCCCCCAACTGTGGTGCAGGAGACCAATTAGGCCACGTCCACCATGGCCACACCCACCCAGCAACCAGGCAGAGAATCCCTTACTAAAAATTTTGAAGCCCGCCCCTGGTAACAATGCTAACAAGTGACAGAAAAAACAGAATCGCTTATCTTCTCTTTTGTCTCGGTGTTCTCCACAAGAAAGTAAATGTTGCTCCAGGAAACTGAGAAGAGAAGACTGAAGGGTCAGCAATGAAGCAGGACATTGATAGGAATATGATCAGGGAGTATCTTCTTATTTCAGATGAATTTAAATTCCAGGTCCAAATGAATGGACAAGGGGCTAGAAACTATATTTTAAGAAAATAGTTTGAAGGAACTGGGAATGTTTAGGCTTGAAGGCTTTTATTATCTCATTCTTCAAATAACTGAAAGAATGGCACATAGAAGGTCAAGCCCAAATGTCTACTCCTCCAGTGTGCCAGGTAAAAAATAATGGATTTAAGTCACAGGAGGAAAGTTTCTAATTCACTGTTAGAGGAAAGAAAATCCTTTCTGACTGGCA